TTTAAAAAATTTTCCATTTTACTTACCGTATTTAAACATAACTATGAACGTTCTATTACGTTCTAAGAACTATGAAATATTAAACGATGAAAAGATGTCAATATCTTAATAAGGGAGAAGGCCAGGCCCTCCTTAGTTTTGTGAAGAAATAAATAAAGAAAAAATCAAATAAATACTTTAAAAAAAAAGTAATGCAGCAAGTAATAAATAAGCGCTAATGGCTGCATCCACAGGGATAAACGCAGGCATGCACATTCTAATTCGGACCCTCCTCCTAATATTAGTCCTAGTTACGCTACTGAACGATATTCATTTTAACCAATTTTGTGGGTTTGTATGATTAATGGATAAGGCAATGCAAAACAAGAGCGATCTGCCAGCGGAACTTTCTACGAGAAACTGGCTCTTATTTGGGTGATAGACAAATAAAGAAAACTGGAAAACACCACGTGGCCAGCCAGTTGTTGAGAAACGAACTCGCGACTAATTACAGTGTTTAGTGGTTTTTTTCACTCGGCTATTTGTGGACCCATTTGGTTTTTGTTTGTTTGATTGTTAAGTTATGGCAACGCAACACTTGGGCGATCTGCCTAGGTGGAATGACTTCCGGGAAGTCTTTTTAAGGTCACTGATGGCACCGTTTGTTTTTTGAATCATGTAAGAATTTATAGGGCCACTTATTGATGAAAATAAACTAATAATGGATTATTCGAATCCGTTTTCATTTGTTTATTTTATTTAATCAATAGTTAGTCTGGAGAAATCAAGTAAAAACTATTGTAAATCATTAAATATAGTCAGATATAAAACTAATTCGAATAAAGAATTTTATTGTTACGATCACATTAATTATCAAATGAAACATTTCGGTGTAGTTTCAAATAAACTGTAATCTTCGAATAAACTCCGGGAATAAAACTGCTGCTAAAATAAACCACCGATCTGAAAAGCATGGGAAACATGTTGAAGTACTACAGTACAGTGTAAAGACTAGTGACAGGTAAAGAGTTTATCTAAAATTCTACCTCTTCAAATTGTCTAGAGTCGGACAGCACTTTCTATTCCAAGGTTTATGAAAACATTTTTTGAAATAAAATTATAAATATTGTCGAATATTGTGCGTGGGAAAGTCGCGATGGAATTAATAAGTCGAGAGCTTATTAGCCAAAGAGTAATTATTAAAACCCAAGTTCAAACTCATCATCTCTTTTGGAAAGATATGGTGAGTTTGAACCACAAGTTGATGCTCAAGATCTTGATTCTTACATAGACAGCGAAGCTGACAAGAATGATAACGTAATAACCGAATTGGAAGACGCTAAATCGCGTTAACTATGAAAACATTAATAATTTCAAATGCTGTAGCTTCAACCCAGTCAATAAACGAAAAATTAAAGTATTTCTTTCAATTTTTACTCACTCGTCTCCTGTTGTAAGGTCTCCAAAAAACCCTTGTCTCGAAAAAACCACGGAGGATACGTACGTTACGTTTTAAAAATAACCCCCCGGAATTTAATCGACAAAGTATGATATATAAATAAATACAAGAACTTTTAATGAAAAAATATATAAAAACTGAAAAACTTATGGAGCATTTCTTAGTATACAGCATACATCTTTAATTAGTTATAAATAAAATTATTCTTTACGTGTAAAGTATATCTTATCTAAATTTTAAAATTTCAGTTAAAGAATTCATGCATTTTGAAACTGAATGGTACACGAATAAAGTTCGTAATATTGATTAGAAAAATGTAAAATTGTAAATACATCATATATTCCTCATAAAGAAGTTCATAAACTTCTAATCTAGATAATGTAAAATAGCAATAAATGTTAAAAATCTTTTACATCTTTACAATAATTTAAAATAATGTCTAAAGGAAGAGCTTTGCTCTACATGAGACTATCCACTCAGAAATGTGGCAATTTTCAATCAAAGATCTCGAGATACTGTATATCAGAGAATGAAATTGGAACAGATATCAGTTCGAGCAACAGAGAAAGTGAAAGCTTTTTCTTTTTTAATAAAATACGTGAAAACTAACTTGTCACCTGTGACATTCCAGTCACGAATCAAATCTTACATTTAAAAAATAAGAGAAAAAATAACTTCTTTATACAATTTTTTTCGACTTTTTAAATGTTAATATGAATAAAATGCTATATAAATTTAGTTTAAATTTATTAAAGTAATAAATTTTTCTTGAGGTATGGGTTATGTTCCATTATGGCGCATCAAGTTTGGACTACTATTTTGATCAACTCCAATTTTTTTTTTTCCAACAAGTAACTAGACTGTCATCTAAAGCTTAGTCATTTCTTGGAGAAAAAAATTAAGCCATAATGAGAACCAATACGATAAGGAAATAATGGGGACATAATGAAGCCCTCACCTTAATTATCTTAATTTAAAAGTTCTGTTTATTATAAATTTATTAGAGAGAATATCCAAATGATTGAATCCAGCAGCACGATTCGATTATTAGAAATTTCTAATACATCTTCGAGTATGTTGCAGTGATTGAACTTAATTAAGTTCATCACACAAGAAAGATTGTCGTTTCCACGCTAATGCACTTGAACTCCTCTTACTTGTTAAACAATAACTTTCATTCTCAATTTCTACTTGTTTGACCTTTCTACAACTTGCAATTCAGTAACAACTTGGCGTAATATAATTTTTCTAATCCGTTTTTAATTTCGTGAAACATAACACAATGTCTCTTGTAATTTGATAATTATGTAAAAATGCAATTGTTGCGTAATAATCTTTCTCGTATTGTCACGAACATAGTGATGCGTGTCCGATTCTCTTCTTAATATCCGCCATGTTTTAATCTGCAAATTATGTATAATTTAATTGTCGTACTTTTTAGGTCGAGTGCAAAACTGTATCTAAAAATTTTTTAATGACTTGAATTCTTTGAATGTATTATGGAAGTCACGCAAAAAGCATTCCTGGAATTTTATTTATTCAAATTATCAAGAACATTCTTAAAATTTATTTACAGCGCTTCTTAAAAAGATATTTGCAAATAAAAATAATTAAAAATACTTGAAATTACTCCTATTTTTTATTCTGGAAACTCTCCTCTAACTACTGTATGGGTTTGGGTTTGTGGTGAGATAAGGCAACGCAAAAAACGCTCTGCCAAAGGGGAATGCCTCTCGATATGACTTTCTACGAGAAACTGGCTCCTATTTAGGTGTTAGACACGTGAAGAAAATTCGGAAAACTTTCCTAGTTAGTTCATTGGTGAGGTGCAAATCCACAACTTTATCAGTGCTTCAGTGGTTTTATCCACTAGATAAATAATGGCCATAATTTTCTATAAAAATTAAGCTTATACAGAACAAGTTGATTCAAAACTTTCCGTTCTCACAGATTTATCATTTATACAAATAATTCAGAAGAAATAAAACTAATTCAAGTTAAATTACTAGTCTAGCATGAACCTTTTAAGATGATTCGATTTAAATTGTTTTTTTTTAATTAATAATTTGATTTAAATAACGAGAACATGAAATTGAATTTTAACATTTTTTTTATTCAAGAAAAAAGATTAAGCTATTTTATCAAGACAAAAGTATAGAAATTCCATTATAAAATATGTAAAAAAATCATAAAATTTTTCTGAAAAGTATCCTTAATTGAAATTCGAAATTTAATATATGCACATCAGGAGCCGTCCATTAATTACATATACGGTTTAAGGAGAGAGTGGTTTGAGAAAAGTATATATCATCGTACACGATAGAGAGGGAGAGGGAGGACGAGGCAGTGTCTACGTGAACTTTAGTGGTATTAATGGCATACGAATTTGTTATTATAAGCCTACTTGTCATGTCAATAAACAATCAGAAAATATTTGCAGAACTTTAAAAAGTCATTTATTCAAATGTTACGGGGTCCATGAACTATTGCACACGTAATTAAATGGGAGGGAGTTTGCTAAAAGTACATCATTGTACACGACAAGAAGGGAGAGAATCAAATGGTAAAAACTGTACAATGTACACACAATGAATAGATGATTCCTATGATAATTATTAATTTTTATTGAGAATAAATTAATGATTAAACATTATTATTATTATTATTTATTAAAATTATTAATTATTTCTATTCAAATAATTAAGCTTTTAAGCAAATTAAAAACTAGAAAAGTTTCTCTATTCCAGCGATTCTCGATCTTTTTCGCTCGCATACCCTCTTGGCCTTGCATGTGTATACTTGTAGCACTAACCAATCCTTCTCTCCTATCCCTAGAGTACGCGTATCACCGGTTGAGAACTACTGCTCTATACAAATTTTTTACCATAAAAATAGTTCCAAGAAATTAATCATTTCTGATATCACGAATAACTCTTGATATATTTTAAACTGTTCCCATTAATGGAAGTTACTGATAATCAAATTTCCTGAACAATTCTCTTCATTAATTTCCAAGAAATTAGGCCATCCTTATTATTTATTCAATACCATCTATCAATAAAATTTACTAATAAATATTTATCTCATAACAAAATTTTAACGGTTCCAAACGAAGTAAAAGTCATTTCTATCTCTTATGATAGAAGATATTGATAGAATAAACCGCAACGAGACTGTATAACCCGCAACTTTACATACAAACGAAAAAGAATAATAGCTTGTTCACAGTAAGATCCTATCACACGCAGCAGATCTGTAGAATTGAATACGTGTATAGAAATCGAATGCGGATATTATTAACAATACAGAGGTATTTTCGGTTCAATAAATATACAAAACACGGTTCTTCAGCATCGTGAATAGCTTTGCCATGCATTTCAAAAAGTATTAATAGAACATTAGACGTTTATACTTAGTTTTAAAGCATTTTTGCCAATAAAATGCTATCATTATAAGAAAAAGAACATTAATTTAAACGTTTTTTTTTCTAATTTTAAATTTTAATTATCTCAATTTATTACTATATATGAAATCTGATTATCTAAATTCTTTCCTGTATCCTTTATAAACAGGACGTTGTTTTATCTTATTTCCAGGAAAATTTTGTAAAATATTAATGAGATAATGTCGCACTAATTTAGAAATTTCTTTTGAAATCTTATCATTACTTTATTAATAAAAATGCGATTTCATCGGCGATAAAACTGCGGATTTGACATTTTTTCCTTTAACGGATATATTAAATTAATTTGAAAGCATATTTTGCTGGTTTTTAAACTTGTTATGTATTTAAATAATAAATTGGTGAATACTTTAACACCCGAATATATCTTTATATTTGTTATAAATCTGGCAGTTGTTCTAAGCGTGAATAAAATGCCAAAATTTGAAAAATAGTGACGTAAATAATGACTGTACGGAGTAATTATTAAAAAATTAAAACTTTATCGTGTAAAATTAATAAATTACCCTATTCATAAATTAAAATTTAATTTTTATATATCGATAGTACAAGGAGTACAACGATTCATTTAGATTTCGGTGACAATTCCTAGAATCAGCATTGTATAAATCTAATAGAAAATTTTAAATATATGTATATATGTGTGTGTGTAGTCTAAGATTTGTGCATTAGGTAAGTGAGCTGAAGCTTAGAAGCTTAGGACCTCGCGTTACTAGTCTATAGGCTTAGAACCTCACAGTTTTACATTTATCATTATATTGGTGGAGGAAAAAGGCCTATTATTATGTTATAGCTTAGGGCCATAACAAGTCTAAATCCAGACCTGTATATTATTTTGAAATGTAGGATTGCGATTCTGCAGTTTCTTTATTAACCCTAAACTATGATATAAATAATTTATGTTTTACTTACCCTAGACTATTGACGAAGAACTTCTCGGTGATATAATCCTTACAATTTGAATTCTCGAATGCTAAGTAGAATTTGTAATCTCTTTCGAGCATATCAAAACACTTTTTAGCGTCGAGTCGCGGACAATTGTAAGGCCCGCAAGAACCGTAAATATCCAATTTTATATGTTTTGCCAGTTCCATGGCATATTCTTTCCTATGATTTTTTGTAGCACAATTCGAAACAAACCAGGCTACTTTTTTAGTTTTATTTGCGGCATAGTTGATCGGCTTAACAACAGATGGCGCTACGGAGTAAGAGACGTACTTCTCGTAAGGTGCTACGATATCGGAATCGTGCCTGTATGTTGCCGTCCAGTTGAAAACGTTCCTGAGATTTTTAAAGTCTTGCGTATGCAGCGGGCATTCCAAAAGGAATAATATCCACACTTGCTCGGAAGATCTTTTGTGAAAGGGCCAAGTGAAGCTGTCCTTGAAAAAGACGGCATCCGCCTTTTCTGCAGAACTGACATGGGTCGTTAGTGAACAGGCGTTAACGGGGCATTTATCTCTCAAAAATACTTTTCTACCTAATGGCAAATCGCTCCAGCCTCCACGTCCAAAATACAGTAAGATAGTCTTTACTTTTTCGGTAATATTCTCTTTGGGAACATACATTAACTGATTGACAATTCTATCTCCGGAATCTTCGTCCGGCCACAGTTTGGAGGGGTCGCAATTAATATCTACCCCCTTATCCGAGGATAAAAACCAAGGACGGAGCTTTCCATCTATTAGAGAGGATCGATACACGTCCGTGATCTCGTTATACTCTTCGAAGTTTTCGTTAGCGTAATTGACGAATGCTATAAAGGTGCACACCATGATTAAGAGTACGGTGGCTACTACCCTCCTCTTCCGAAATCTAAGCATGTTTAGATTAAGGCGACTTCATTTGTTGAATCTGAAAAATAGAAAATCACTGTAAAAATACAATCACTAACAAAGTAATGATACGGAAAAATAATGTTAATCAAATAATTCGGTTGATTAAAATAATAACCAAGTAAACATCATAAATTAATATATAGTAACTGTAACTACGTAACTAGAAACGAAGTTTAAAGTCTGAACGCTCTATTTTGTTATACAAAACGTTGAAGAATGCAAAATAAACTACTGGGAGCTAATCCCTCTGACACTCCTCTCGAAAGGATACCTGACTATAAACAATTTTAATGGTAGAAGAGATAATTTATCTTAAAAAGCCATTCAAAAATTAAAAGCATTTAATGGAGTAAATCGACAATGGCACAAATTAGGTTAACTGAGATAAAGAAAATACGAGGTGTTAAAGAAAGCACCTGCGTGATCCCTTTTTTCCAGCCTCTTTCCCGTATCACATGATAAATGTGTTAAGTTTAATCCGCGATTGCAATGTAAGGACGCGGACACCATTGTAAACCCGCATAGCGATCTTACCTTTCGTTTTCACCTGGTGACGCAATGCAGAGTGAATCGACTGTTTGCAAGCGCAGCGCTTATCGGAATTCCTCAAAACGTCACAGACTAATGGAAGCGTCCCTCCTGAATCGAATAGTGTTTATGAAATAATCATTGGTCGTCGTCGTCTTCGTCCATGATCATTGTTTAGACTCGTCTTTCTCACTCGTCTGCCACCTTGGAACGATCCATTCCGTTCACCGACGGGGAGAATTCTGCAGGTAGATGGGCTCGACAGCCGCTAGCAAAACAACCCGTCTTTAAGCCCTAACCCGCTTTCGCTTCGTTATGACTTGCTAAGTAAAAAATGGAGGCCAATTCCGCTTATTATTTCAAACCGGTTACCTGTGATGTCATTTCCTATTAAGCTATGTAACATTCGTGCCGATAATTTGTTTTCTTTGATTTTTCTAGCGTAGACCATTTTTAATTATACCCAGTCATATAAAATATTTATTATATAGGCCTATATATATTTATTTATATAACAGAATATTTANGGGGCGGATAATCGAGGTTCTACTGTATGTATTTTATAGCAATATATATCTAATATGGTGTGTGTAATCCTTATTTAATATATAATTTTAAACATTTTAAATATTTGATGTAAAATAATATATCAAGGTTTTTCAAAAAGTATTGATTCACACAATTAGAAAGCAAATAATATAAAACCACGGAATAATTTTCAGGCTCTTAAGGTGCACATCAGCGAAAAGACGAGAGATCTTCTTATAGAAAGCAATTGGGATATATCTGAGAGAGGAACCATAACCGTTAAGGTATGCAATTAACAAAGAACTTCTCAAATTTTCAAAGTTAATCTGACTACTACTATTTTAGGGAAAAGGTGAAATGAAGACTTATTGGTTACACGGAAGAAGAGGAAGAACGTCAAAAATAGCAGATAAACAAGAAGAAATTAAACCTCCCTCTTTAGCACCCGTTACAGAATCTGGAGAAACTCGTTCCCTCTATTCTCCAGTTACATTTGATGAGGTTTCTCGGTTACAACCTCTTTCTCCACTCAGTACTGGAAGTAGCGATTATAATAATCCTATTATAGACGTTACGGAACCATTAAATCCTGCAGATTTTCAACAATCTTGGCCTATACCGAAAGCGGTAGCTTGCCAGACATCACCCCCTTTAGAATCCGCAAGTCGTAGACTGAGATTCACTGAACCAGAATCATCTCTTCTAAATGGAGGTATTTATCCGGGTCGCGATATAGGTTGTCCTTGTTGCTGTAAACATTGTCATCTTCAGCTTCCCGATAATGCTATTAGAAAAAGCAAACAAAACATGAGAAAAAGTGGAATAAATGTCATTCATGTCACACCACGTGTACGTCATCCCGAATCCCCCGAAGAAATTATAAAAAGCAATGCCTGCAAAATAATATGAGAAGTGTAAGCAATTTTACAGATTATGTTTCAACTTTATTTTTAGCATACTGAGGTTAATTTTTAGTGAAAATATCTATTTAAATTAGTTGATTGTCTTTTTTAATGCATAATTTCCATGTAAGTAGGGCGCATTGCCTAGTAAAGCGTCTTTAATACATAGCTTTAACTGCTTTATTAAAGTCGCTTTACTAGCAATGTGCCCACGAAAACAGCTTTGCGACTTTTGTAACTTATTCTACTGTAAATAACATTGAGCAGCGGTTCTCAACCGTTTTCACTCGACTACCACCCGAGTCTTCTGTCTATACACTTGTAGCTCCAACCGATCTTTCTTGCGTATCCGAACGGCACGCATACCATTGGTTGAGAACTATTGATACAAAATAATTTAAGGTATCTTAAATTATTTTGTATCAATTATTCTTTTTCTCTAAATTATTCTTTTAGGATAAAAACTTATTTAGAAATAAGCATGCTCCAGAATTTAGTTACCATCATCAACTGGCACAATGCATTCAGTTTTATGAAAGGTTACTTGTTACATAACTTTACCTAACAGAATTTATCTGTCGTTAATTATAAAATGTGCAATAAGTACTCAAAATCTGATAAGACTGCCTTCATATACATTAAGAAGAAAGGAAAATATAGGTCATATACAATTATTTGTATTCAGTGAAACGTTGACAAAACGTCTACGAAAGACAGAATCAACACTGAATAGCGCCCTATTCAATTAGTATTATTCTGTCATCTGAATAATCGCCAAGCTTTCTTTATAGTTTTTAATGAGCTGAACGGCTGTTATTTACAAAAGATTTATTTTTATGTGGGATCGTCCATTAATTACGTGTACAGTTTAAGGAGAAGTTCGCGAAAAATTCATCATTTTATACGACAGGAAGTGAGGGGATCGAGGCATTGTCTACAAGGATTTTGTTTTGGTATTTGTTCTTAAAAGACTGATTTACTAGTTTTGAGTAAACTATCAGTTACAATATATTTGCATAACTTTGTCGGGGGACTCATGAACTATTGTATTGTACACGTAATTAAAGGGGAGGGTTTGTTAAAAGTGCATGATTATACGCAATGGGAAGAGAAGGTTTAAAAGGAAATAAAAAAATTGTACAAGTAATTAGTAGACAGCCCGGTTAGATATACTTTTAAAATGTAAATGTATGCGAAATTTTCCTAAACTAATTTATTTTGTACTTAATATTACACGAAATTTTAATTATTAAATTAAATATTTCATGACGAATTAATTGAACCAAGTAGAAATTTTAACGTAAAATTTCTAAAATGAGAACAATTTGCATCTGTAAATAAATAATTTATTTCAGATAATGTAAATAAAGCAAAAAAAAAAAAAAAATGTAAGTTTAATCATACCAACTTAAGAGATGCAATGTATATAAATATATATGAGCCACAAGATACAAAAATGAGAAGATTACTCTTCTTGGAAGACAACGACTAGAGCCATTGATGAGTGGAAGACTTGCACGAATACTTCGTCTTCTGACACTATCTGTCGTCAATTGGATTGTTCCAACTACCCATCGTGCACGTTCCTTTAGAAGACCACCACTCTTGAATGTCCGAATATGATTTAGGTCTGGGTGGAGCGTGCAACATGGCGCATACTCTACACCAAAAATAGGTATTGATGAACTCACCGTTACCTTTCCATTTGAAGTATTCGTTGTACAAAGTATCGTTTTGGTCAAGTTTGATTAGGTAGTCTGCTAATTGACGAGGAGACTCGAAATCGTCCACGTGTATGTATGAATGAGGAGGTGCACTTCTCTCGTAATCTTCTTTTCTTGCTCCCATAACTATAGGAAGGACGTTATGGCTGAAAAATATAACAAAAGGTATGCTGTTGTACAAATTTATAACAAATGAAAAGCAGAAAAAGTTTAAATTTGTTACAATCGAAAATATAACACTAATGTTGCAAAATATAAATTTTATAAAGAATTAATTAAATCCTGATTCATAAATAAGTTATTATTAATTAGAAAAGCTTTATTGGGATTTAATAATTACAGAAAATTCTTATATAATCTGCTTTTTTAAAATTTTAATATACAGGTTAAATCATCAAATTTTGAATATGGATTTAAAATTAATAAAATGACTTTGCTATGAAGATAAATGTGTAATTACAATTTATTCGGAAAATTTTTTTATTTAAAAAGTACAATTAAATTAAGAGCGAATCACTATAATAATTTGCCTTATTATTGGTTAAATAGGCTAATAGAAAAATTTACAAGTACTATAGTAATTTTCTAACTTAAAATAAATGAATATGTAAATATGATATGTCGTATACAATATATGTAAGACTGTGTTATATATTATATAATTACATAAACATATGGATGAAGTAAGAATTGAATCATAATCATGACACTTCGATCCATTCGATTGTCTTCAACACCTTTCTCTCACTCAAATAATTATTTCGTACAGAAATAAAAAAGTTTTAATGAAACCGAATGAAAAATAAATATTAAGGCGCATTATTACCAGCAAAACAAAGTTGATATTTTAAAATCCGTTTCGAATTTTATATGCTTCCATTTACAAAAAACTTTGTTTAATAATATTAATAAGCAATCGCCGTCTCAAATATATATATTTTTCATAATGTAGAAGTAAAATATCAATTAGTACAGACATGAAATCCTTTATTCCGATAAGAAATCGCTATTTAATTGTATAATACACGGAAAATCTACAAACCTCCCAGAAGGAAACTTGTACTTATTTAGATGTTACACACGTGAAGAAAATTCGAAAAACTCCACACGGCCAGCCCGGAGGTGAGGTGCGGGTTCGTGCCTCACAACTACCAGTGTCTATTGATTTTATCTAATTGGCAAGAAGTCTTGTCTTAAATCAAAATGTATGCACTAGAACTATCTTAGACGCATTTAAAAAGCTCGATAATTAAATAATCAAAATTACTTTCATTTTAATATTAGATAATTAATTGAATTATTTTATCGATTGAGAATACAGTATATTTGTAATTATGTAAATCGCTTCATTCTCGTATTACTCTCTTTTTTTTATTAGTAACGGTTGGTAGCAATAGTCTAAAACTCGCGCAACTAATTTTACTTGTCTAGACTATTATTGCAAACAAAAAAAATCTTCTTACGTAATCATAAATAACAGGTTTTATGCTATCTAATTTAATATTAATTCAAATTTATATATCTTAAATATGTGAAAGTTATTGCACAAATTACCAGAAGTAATCTCTGCAATGCTTTTAATAATGATTTATTATTTTTATTATTATTAACTTGTAGACCTATTAGCAACCTCTTCGGTTATACAGGCGATTTCCAGCAGATGGCGTTAAAACTGTAATGCTTTTTCTATGGGAATATCGAAAACGGAAGCCGATAGAACCAAACAGTTTTGCGTTAGAATTCTATTTAATTCCATTAACGTATGGCTCAGAATTTTGACAATCGAATTCGTTAATTTCCAACGATTTTAAAAATTAAAAAATTCTGTATTGTAAATTCTGAACCGTAAGTTAACAGAAGAATTAAATAGAATTCTAACGTAAAATTCTGTTTGTTTCTATCTGCTTCCGTTTTCGAGATTTTTTGGGAAAGGAATTTTCCATAGAAAAAGCATTACATTTTTAACGTCATCTGCTGGACACCACGTACTTGTTTTATAAAGTCAATTATTTTGCAGGAAATTCTTCTTGAAACGATTTTAAATTAAATTTGCACTTTTTTAAAATAATAAAATTTCTGACTCGAAAATCGTATTTTATTCCGACTTGAACACCTCTTTAAATACCTACTTTGTAGTGACGACCACTTGAAATTACGGGTACTAACGTCGACGAGTGATTAATTTAAAAATCAATAAGCGTAGGATAATAATAAGCACGATAAACAATTTAAATGACGCAAGTTATGTTATTTTAATGTCAAATCAATAATTGCGAACAATGAAAACGTTTTCTTTTACTCATTAAAATTTGAAATCGGAATGAAAGAAATTTAACGCATTCACAATTTCTCTTACAGTTTTATTACCAAATGATTATTTAAATTTCTGTATTTTAGTATTTAAAAATATTAATTTAAATATTATTAAGATAAATCTAATTGTAATATTAATTTAAAATCCAGTAATTAATAATAGGCTATAAAATAATAATGTAAATTATTATTTTATATTTATTATTATTATATTATATACGGTTAGTAGGAAAGTTATACCTGTGGTAAATAACAACGGTGTAATTTCAATACATTATCGATAAACTTTATATATATATTTTGTCTCAATATCATTTTTCTTTCATTCCTCTATCTGCAATCGCTCTCTTTACTAAGTTTTCGATCATCTTTTCCTTCTCCTTCTTCCCTTACTCTTTGCTTCCATTGCAAATTTATGAAAGTTAACATGTTGATTAAAAAATTATATTACTATTGAAAGAAATAGTAGATATATTTTGCTTGAATATTACTGCAATTTATTATCAATCCAATAGTGGGAAAAAGTCTTTTAAGCTTGGACAAGTTTTTCACTGGCTCTCTCATACATTCAGGAACAGTAATTGATACACTTTATATTAATAATTTTAATTAATATAAAGTAATCAATTTGGAATATTAAAATGCCTCATTTTAACTATAAAGGTATACAAATTTATAAAATAAGTTATATTTTTCTATCTTAAAATCTCTAAATTTGTTAGTCGCCAATGGATTGGCCACGTGGCGTTTATCGGGTTTTCTTCACGTTAGTAATACCTAAATAGGGGCAAGTTTCCCATAGAAAGTCCTCCCGGGAGGCATTCCCCCCTCGCCAGATTGCCCATATACCGCGTTACCATATAGCCTACAAATAAAACAAAACAAACTGAACAGACTTATACATCAATTATACACATATTTCAGAAAGAAAAGATATTTTTGTTTTGTTATATTTTATTTATTTATTTTTTAAACTTTGGTTAAAGGGAGAAGCATATGCCCCTTCTGCTTCTCCCTGATTGTACAGTACCTCTATGTTAAGATATAATTAAGCTCTTTAAAAAATTTTCCATTTTACTTACCGTATTTAAACATAACTATGAACGTTCTATTACGTTCTAAGAACTATGAAATATTAAACGATGAAAAGATGTCAATATCTTAATAAGGGAGAAGGCCAGGCCCTCCTTAGTTTTGTGAAGAAATAAATAAAGAAAAAATCAAATAAATACTTTAAAAAAAAAGTAATGCAGCAAGTAATAAATAAGCGCTAATGGCTGCATCCACAGGGATAAACGCAGGCATGCACATTCTAATTCGGACCCTCCTCCTAATATTAGTCCTAGTTACGCTACTGAACGATATTCATTTTAACCAATTTTGTGGGTTTGTATGATTAATGGATAAGGCAATGCAAAACAAGAGCGATCTGCCAGCGGAACTTTCTACGAGAAACTGGCTCTTATTTGGGTGATAGACAAATAAAGAAAACTGGAAAACACCACGTGGCCAGCCAGTTGTTGAGAAACGAACTCGCGACTAATTACAGTGTTTAGTGGTTTTTTTCACTCGGCTATTTGTGGACCCATTTGGTTTTTGTTTGTTTGATTGTTAAGTTATGGCAACGCAACACTTGGGCGATCTGCCTAGGTGGAATGACTTCCGGGAAGTCTTTTTAAGGTCACTGATGGCACCGTTTGTTTTTTGAATCATGTAAGAATTTATAGGGCCACTTATTGATGAAAATAAACTAATAATGGATTATTCGAATCCGTTTTCATTTGTTTATTTTATTTAATCAATAGTTAGTCTGGAGAAATCAAGTAAAAACTATTGTAAATCATTAAATATAGTCAGATATAAAACTAATTCGAATAAAGAATTTTATTGTTACGATCACATTAATTATCAAATGAAACATTTCGGTGTAGTTTCAAATAAACTGTAATCTTCGAATAAACTCCGGGAATAAAACTGCTGCTAAAATAAACCACCGATCTGAAAAGCATGGGAAACATGTTGAAGTACTACAGTACAGTGTAAAGACTAGTGACAGGTAAAGAGTTTATCTAAAATTCTACCTCTTCAAATTGTCTAGAGTCGGACAGCACTTTCTATTCCAAGGTTTATGAAAACATTTTTTGAAATAAAATTATAAATATTGTCGAATATTGTGCGTGGGAAAGTCGCGATGGAATTAATAAGTCGAGAGCTTATTAGCCAAAGAGTAATTATTAAAACCCAAGTTCAAACTCATCATCTCTTTTGGAAAGATATGGTGAGTTTGAACCACAAGTTGATGCTCAAGATCTTGATTCTTACATAGACAGCGAAGCTGACAAGAATGATAACGTAATAACCGAATTGGAAGACGCTAAATCGCGTTAACTATGAAAACATTAATAATTTCAAATGCTGTAGCTTCAACCCAGTCAATAAACGAAAAATTAAAGTATTTCTTTCAATTTTTACTCACTCGTCTCCTGTTGTAAGGTCTCCAAAAAACCCTTGTCTCGAAAAAACCACGGAGGATACGTACGTTACGTTTTAAAAATAACCCCCCGGAATTTAATCGACAAAGTATGATATATAAATAAATACAAGAACTTTTAATGAAAAAATATATAAAAACTGAAAAACTTATGGAGCATTTCTTAGTATACAGCATACATCTTTAATTAGTTATAAATAAAATTATTCTTTACGTGTAAAGTATATCTTATCTAAATTTTAAAATTTCAGTTAAAGAATTCATGCATTTTGAAACTGAATGGTACACGAATAAAGTTCGTAATATTGATTAGAAAAATGTAAAATTGTAAATACATCATATATTCCTCATAAAGAAGTTCATAAACTTCTAATCTAGATAATGTAAAATAGCAATAAATGTTAAAAATCTTTTACATCTTTACAATAATTTAAAATAATGTCTAAAGGAAGAGCTTTGCTCTACATGAGACTATCCACTCAGAAATGTGGCAATTTTCAATCAAAGATCTCGAGATACTGTATATCAGAGAATGAAATTGGAACAGATATCAGTTCGAGCAACAGAGAAAGTGAAAGCTTTTTCTTTTTTAATAAAATACGTGAAAACTAACTTGTCACCTGTGACATTCCAGTCACGAATCAAATCTTACATTTAAAAAATAAGAGAAAAAATAACTTCTTTATACAATTTTTTTCGACTTTTTAAATGTTAATATGAATAAAATGCTATATAAATTTAGTTTAAATTTATTAAAGTAATAAATTTTTCTTGAGGTATGGGTTATGTTCCATTATGGCGCATCAAGTTTGGACTACTATTTTGATCAACTCCAATTTTTTTTTTTCCAACAAGTAACTAGACTGTCATCTAAAGCTTAGTCATTTCTTGGAGAAAAAAATTAAGCCATAATGAGAACCAATACGATAAGGAAATAATGGGGACATAATGAAGCCCTCACCTTAATTATCTTAATTTAAAAGTTCTGTTTATTATAAATTTATTAGAGAGAATATCCAAATGATTGAATCCAGCAGCACGATTCGATTATTAGAAATTTCTAATACATCTTCGAGTATGTTGCAGTGATTGAACTTAATTAAGTTCATCACACAAGAAAGATTGTCGTTTCCACGCTAATGCACTTGAACTCCTCTTACTTGTTAAACAATAACTTTCATTCTCAATTTCTACTTGTTTGACCTTTCTACAACTTGCAATTCAGTAACAACTTGGCGTAATATAATTTTTCTAATCCGTTTTTAATTTCGTGAAACATAACACAATGTCTCTTGTAATTTGATAATTATGTAAAAATGCAATTGTTGCGTAATAATCTTTCTCGTATTGTCACGAACATAGTGATGCGTGTCCGATTCTCTTCTTAATATCCGCCATGTTTTAATCTGCAAATTATGTATAATTTAATTGTCGTACTTTTTAGGTCGAGTGCAAAACTGTATCTAAAAATTTTTTAATGACTTGAATTCTTTGAATGTATTATGGAAGTCACGCAAAAAGCATTCCTGAAATTTTATTTATTCAAATTATCAAGAACATTCTTAAAATTTATTTACAGCGCTTCTTAAAAAGATATTTGCAAATAAAAATAATTAAAAATACTTGAAATTACTCCTATTTTTTATTCTGGAAACTCTCCTCTAACTACTGTATGGGTTTGGGTTTGTGGTGAGATAAGGCAACGCAAAAAACGCTCTGCCAAAGGGGAATGCCTCTCGATATGACTTTCTACGAGAAACTGGCTCCTATTTAGGTGTTAGACACGTGAAGAAAATTCGGAAAACTTTCCTAGTTAGTTCATTGGTGAGGTGCAAATCCACAACTTTATCAGTGCTTCAGTGGTTTTATCCACTAGATAAATAATGGCCATAATTTTCTATAAAAATTAAGCTTATACAGAACAAGTTGATTCAAAACTTTCCGTTCTCACAGATTTATCATTTATACAAATAATTCAGAAGAAATAAAACTAATTCAAGTTAAATTACTAGTCTAGCATGAACCTTTTAAGATGATTCGATTTAAATTGTTTTTTTTTAATTAATAATTTCATTTAAATAACGAGAACATGAAATTGAATTTTAACATTTTTTTTATTCAAGAAAAAAGATTAAGCTATTTTATCAAGACAAAAGTATAGAAATTCCATTATAAAATATGTAAAAAAATCATAAAATTTTTCTGAAAAGTATCCTTAATTGAAATTCGAAATTTAATATATGCACATCAGGAGCCGTCCATTAATTACATATACGGTTTAAGGAGAGAGTGGTTTGAGAAAAGTATATATCATCGTACACGATAGAGAGGGAGAGGGAGGACGAGGCAGTGTCTACGTGAACTTTAGTGGTATTAATGGCATACGAATTTGTTATTATAAGCCTACTTGTCATGTCAATAAACAATCAGAAAATATTTGCAGAACTTTAAAAAGTCATTTATTCAAATGTTACGGGGTCCATGAACTATTGCACACGTAATTAAATGGGAGGGAGTTTGCTAAAAGTACATCATTGTACACGACAAGAAGGGAGAGAATCAAATGGTAAAAACTGTACAATGTACACACAATGAATAGATGATTCCTATGATAATTATTAATTTTTATTGAGAATAAATTAATGATTAAACATTATTATTATTATTATTTATTAAAATTATTAATTATTTCTATTCAAATAATTAAGCTTTTAAGCAAATTAAAAACTAGAAAAGTTTCTCTATTCCAGCGATTCTCGATCTTTTTCGCTCGCATACCCTCTTGGCCTTGCATGTGTATACTTGTAGCACTAACCAATCCTTCTCTCCTATCCCTAGAGTACGCGTATCACCGGTTGAGAACTACTGCTCTATACAAATTTTTTACCATAAAAATAGTTCCAAGAAATTAATCATTTCTGATATCACGAATAACTCTTGATATATTTTAAACTGTTCCCATTAATGGAAGTTACTGATAATCAAATTTCCTGAACAATTCTCTTCATTAATTTCCAAGAAATTAGGCCATCCTTATTATTTATTCAATACCATCTATCAATAAAATTTACTAATAAATATTTATCTCATAACAAAATTTTAACGGTTCCAAACGAAGTAAAAGTCATTTCTATCTCTTATGATAGAAGATATTGATAGAATAAACCGCAACGAGACTGTATAACCCGCAACTTTACATACAAACGAAAAAGAATAATAGCTTGTTCACAGTAAGATCCTATCACACGCAGCAGATCTGTAGAATTGAATACGTGTATAGAAATCGAATGCGGATATTATTAACAATACAGAGGTATTTTCGGTTCAATAAATATACAAAACACGGTTCTTCAGCATCGTGAATAGCTTTGCCATGCATTTCAAAAAGTATTAATAGAACATTAGACGTTTATACTTAGTTTTAAAGCATTTTTGCCAATAAAATGCTATCATTATAAGAAAAAGAACATTAATTTAAACGTTTTTTTTTCTAATTTTAAATTTTAATTATCTCAATTTATTACTATATATGAAATCTGATTATCTAAATTCTTTCCTGTATCCTTTATAAACAGGACGTTGTTTTATCTTATTTCCAGGAAAATTTTGTAAAATATTAATGAGATAATGTCGCACTAATTTAGAAATTTCTTTTGAAATCTTATCATTACTTTATTAATAAAAATGCGATTTCATCGGCGATAAAACTGCGGATTTGACATTTTTTCCTTTAACGGATATATTAAATTAATTTGAAAGCATATTTTGCTGGTTTTTAAACTTGTTATGTATTTAAATAATAAATTGGTGAATACTTTAACACCCGAATATATCTTTATATTTGTTATAAATCTGGCAGTTGTTCTAAGCGTGAATAAAATGCCAAAATTTGAAAAATAGTGACGTAAATAATGACTGTACGGAGTAATTATTAAAAAATTAAAACTTTATCGTGTAAAATTAATAAATTACCCTATTCATAAATTAAAATTTAATTTTTATATATCGATAGTACAAGGAGTACAACGATTCATTTAGATTTCGGTGACAATTCCTAGAATCAGCATTGTATAAATCTAATAGAAAATTTTAAATATATGTATATATGTGTGTGTGTAGTCTAAGATTTGTGCATTAGGTAAGTGAGCTGAAGCTTAGAAGCTTAGGACCTCGCGTTACTAGTCTATAGGCTTAGAACCTCACAGTTTTACATTTATCATTATATTGGTGGAGGAAAAAGGCCTATTATTATGTTATAGCTTAGGGCCATAACAAGTCTAAATCCAGACCTGTATATTATTTTGAAATGTAGGATTGCGATTCTGCAGTTTCTTTATTAACCCTAAACTATGATATAAATAATTTATGTTTTACTTACCCTAGACTATTGACGAAGAACTTCTCGGTGATATAATCCTTACAATTTGAATTCTCGAATGCTAAGTAGAATTTGTAATCTCTTTCGAGCATATCAAAACACTTTTTAGCGTCGAGTCGCGGACAATTGTAAGGCCCGCAAGAACCGTAAATATCCAATTTTATATGTTTTGCCAGTTCCATGGCATATTCTTTCCTATGATTTTTTGTAGCACAATTCGAAACAAACCAGGCTACTTTTTTAGTTTTATTTGCGGCATAGTTGATCGGCTTAACAACAGATGGCGCTACGGAGTAAGAGACGTACTTCTCGTAAGGTGCTACGATATCGGAATCGTGCCTGTATGTTGCCGTCCAGTTGAAAACGTTCCTGAGATTTTTAAAGTCTTGCGTATGCAGCGGGCATTCCAAAAGGAATAATATCCACACTTGCTCGGAAGATCTTTTGTGAAAGGGCCAAGTGAAGCTGTCCTTGAAAAAGACGGCATCCGCCTTTTCTGCAGAACTGACATGGGTCGTTAGTGAACAGGCGTTAACGGGGCATTTATCTCTCAAAAATACTTTTCTACCTAATGGCAAATCGCTCCAGCCTCCACGTCCAAAATACAGTAAGATAGTCTTTACTTTTTCGGTAATATTCTCTTTGGGAACATACATTAACTGATTGACAATTCTATCTCCGGAATCTTCGTCCGGCCACAGTTTGGAGGGGTCGCAATTAATATCTACCCCCTTATCCGAGGATAAAAACCAAGGACGGAGCTTTCCATCTATTAGAGAGGATCGATACACGTCCGTGATCTCGTTATACTCTTCGAAGTTTTCGTTAGCGTAATTGACGAATGCTATAAAGGTGCACACCATGATTAAGAGTACGGTGGCTACTACCCTCCTCTTCCGAAATCTAAGCATGTTTAGATTAAGGCGACTTCATTTGTTGAATCTGAAAAATAGAAAATCACTGTAAAAATACAATCACTAACAAAGTAATGATACGGAAAAATAATGTTAATCAAATAATTCGGTTGATTAAAATAATAACCAAGTAAACATCATAAATTAATATATAGTAACTGTAACTACGTAACTAGAAACGAAGTTTAAAGTCTGAACGCTCTATTTTGTTATACAAAACGTTGAAGAATGCAAAATAAACTACTGGGAGCTAATCCCTCTGACACTCCTCTCGAAAGGATACCTGACTATAAACAATTTTAATGGTAGAAGAGATAATTTATCTTAAAAAGCCATTCAAAAATTAAAAGCATTTAATGGAGTAAATCGACAATGGCACAAATTAGGTTAACTGAGATAAAGAAAATACGAGGTGTTAAAGAAAGCACCTGCGTGATCCCTTTTTTCCAGCCTCTTTCCCGTATCACATGATAAATGTGTTAAGTTTAATCCGCGATTGCAATGTAAGGACGCGGACACCATTGTAAACCCGCATAGCGATCTTACCTTTCGTTTTCACCTGGTGACGCAATGCAGAGTGAATCGACTGTTTGCAAGCGCAGCGCTTATCGGAATTCCTCAAAACGTCACAGACTAATGGAAGCGTCCCTCCTGAATCGAATAGTGTTTATGAAATAATCATTGGTCGTCGTCGTCTTCGTCCATGATCATTGTTTAGACTCGTCTTTCTCACTCGTCTGCCACCTTGGAACGATCCATTCCGTTCACCGACGGGGAGAATTCTGCAGGTAGATGGGCTCGACAGCCGCTAGCAAAACAACCCGTCTTTAAGCCCTAACCCGCTTTCGCTTCGTTATGACTTGCTAAGTAAAAAATGGAGGCCAATTCCGCTTATTATTTCAAACCGGTTACCTGTGATGTCATTTCCTATTAAGCTATGTAACATTCGTGCCGATAATTTGTTTTCTTTGATTTTTCTAGCGTAGACCATTTTTAATTATACCCAGTCATATAAAATATTTATTATATAGGCCTATATATATTTATTTATATAACAGAATATTTATATCTTAGGATATCCTCTGCATCATATTAATCTATGCGGAAGCCCATAAAAATAATACGTCTGTTATATATATATATATATATACATTATTTATATTCTATAAATATAGTATAAGGCTGTCAGCATAACGCTCTGGGGAACCCGGGATCGATCCTGGCAGGTAGAAAAGCCTCAGAATTTTTTGGGGATGGTCTGTTCCGGATATGTCGGGCCTTATCTCTCAACACCCAGTGGCCCTGGCCGATCCCACGATGAACTCTGAAAAGACCCTCTTAGTGACCACGTGGCGAAAAGAGTAAAAAGTAGGCCTAATTTACTTTAAAGAACTAAATAAAATTTTAATAAATTATCTTGTAGATGCTTAAATATTAAGTCAATTTTCAAAAAAATTAAAATTAAAATAATCTACTTTTCAAATTAAATAAGATTTTTAAATAAAAATATAATAATTTTTCTTTTTAAATATCGAAGACTTTATGAACAAATAAACATCATCATTAGTCAATATCAAGTCCAGTTAATTCTGTTCAAGGTTTGGAAGGCAATATATATATAGCCTTTTTGCCTTTGGAAATTTTGATATTTCCTTTTACTTTTCTAAAATTTAAATAAATATTTTTTTATTGGATTTTGCATTTTTGCCCTTTTCTAAAGCAAAGTATGTTATTCCCTTTTCATAAATCCACTAGAATTCAGCTTACTCTTATAAAATATCAAACGCAAATTTAACATTTAAGTGCCATTTAAAAAAAGAAAGAAAGAAACTTTGCATCGAATAATGAGGTTGAATAAAACAATAGAAAACAATTTACAAATTCATAAATGCCAGAAAAGAATTGTTTCGTTGGAGCATAACAAGGATAGCGCAACGAGATGACACATTTAAATGTGTTAATTCATATGAAATTACTATTATTTAGAATTATGCAAAATAATATACTCACTGTAGGTTTTAGCAACGGATCGATATAGTTTTGTAGTGTCAACTTGGCAATTCTTTTGGCCGTGACAGGTCAATAGGACGAAGGTAGCGATAGCATCGCATACAGAACGGTGAACAGAGGGAATTTCAAGGCCTAGCTGGAAGTAGTCATACAAGTGAAGGCGTCACACCATTACCTGCAGCACTACCTCTGGACACGAGTGCGCCTGACTGCAACAATTTGTATGGCATTTTCCTCATATTGAAAAATCATATTAAAATGATAATGCGGCCTCGTTATATTTGTCTTAATACTTTTAAAGCAAGATATGATGAATAAGTAAAATTTTGTAAAGTTAACAAGAGTGACGGTAATTTTTTTTTTTTTTTTTTACAAATGTCATAATTTTGATTAGAAAAACTAAAATTCACAAACAAGTAGATTTATTAAATATATTGAACAATATCTATGATATTTCAGCTTTGTTAAACATACGAAGCAGATGGTATACGTATCGCCAGTCTGTTTGTATAATAAAAATTACGTATAATCAATAAAAAAATATCGATAGGTTTACGATAGTACGTTCATTTTATAGGTTTTCGTTAATTGTTAACAGTTTAAATTAACTTTAAATAGTTTCAAATTAAGTAACAAGTTTAACCGTTTAAGATATATTTAACGGCGATTAAAATTTAAAAGACTATAATTAATTTATATTTATTATTATTGTAAATACGGTATTAACTGCATTGGGATGAACCTACTAGGGCGACAGGCATCTATTTGTATGTATCTATTTGAATATGTAATAAATAAGGCTATTTATAGTGAATTATTTATAGTTTTAAACAAAAACTGGAATTTCTTAAGGGTATAAATATATTTTAAATATATTACACAACATACATTTCGTCAAAATATTGAATTAAATTATTATAAATATATGTCACTATACAAGTGCGAAACACGAGTTACAACACATCACTCAATATTTTAAGTAACTTAATGCAAATGTTTCGTTGTCCTTACTAAATACTTGCATACATTTACACGTTTGTGTAAAGTAATTACAAACTTATTCTAGAAACACTTAAATGTATGTGTGAGTTTTTAAAGAGGCGAAATATCGGGATTGTAAAGGAAGAGAAGCAACTTAGTTTATGCATAATTTTAATTAAATTCTTTTATTGGCATTTAAATGTTTCATTTTTAAAATAAATTTTTACAAGGACGAATTATTTTGGAAAGGGAAAAGATTCAAAGTAAGAGTAGTAATTGAGATGGAACAGACGTCGATAACAACAAAGCACGAAAACAATCGATTATCCAATGTCGTATGCCCTTTTGCAAAGAGGAAAACACATTCAAAAACTATGAAAACAGCAATAAATGCGTTACATCCGGATCTATTATAAATGCTCAGTTCACTACATTGTCAAATTATCAAATTCCATTATTCGTAGACACTTCGAATTATACAGTAATGTATTGTCTATAGGTCTCTATATATTGTCTGTATACATGGCTGGACTTGTTGTGACCCTATTATATAGTATATAATATAATAGGTTCTTAACTCTCCACCAAATAATGATACATGTAAAAAATGTGATACCTAAGCTATAGACTTATGACACGAGGAACCAAGCTGAAGCTTGTTTAGCTTAAGTGCAAATCAAGCTCTGTATTTATATATATAAATACAGAGACAGAGCCGGATATGCATATATATTACTGAAAACTATATATATAGTTTTCAATAATATACAGTATATAGGATACATAATACATGCATATACAGTCAAACCTTTGAACAACGGCCACTGACTGAAACAAAAAGTATGGTCGTTATTTGGAAGTTTTTTGTATGAAATTTTGTCGGGAAAATAGACTGTTTAGAGGTGACCTTTGTTAGAGGTTCTACTATAACACTGAAATCTAATTCGTGGGCATATTATTCAATTAATTACTGAATATTTATTATTAGAATGGTACATAAGAATTATTCAAATAATTATCATTCTTACATTAAATTTAAAAACAATTTGAATCATTTTACAGCGTTATTTATAAGTTAAATAAATAAAACTTTTAAATTTAAATATAATTAAAATAAAAATCAAAAACAACAGTGAAACGTGTTTTCACCTTTGATATTTAAGAAACGTGGTGTGTTTTAAAATTAATGTCAATACATATAATACGATAACGAGAAAAACTCACGCTACAAATCAATATTTGGATTTTATGACTTGAATTCACGTACATTGCCTTAAATTTTTTATAAATTAAAATTTTTAAATATTCAAATATTAATGTTAAAATTAAGTTATGAAACTTTCAATTATTTAAGATGTATGTTCAAATTATCATAGAAAGAGATTAAATCATTAAAATATTTATATATTTTTTCTTAAATTAATAGCGTAAAATATGACACATGGTGTATTTTAATGAGAATATGTACATATATATTGTGAGAAAGGCACTTTTCTCACTCGTAAATGCATTTTTCTCATATATACAGTACTGTACAGTACAAAGCCTAGATTTTTGTGTTATTGTAATTTTAATGGTATAGTTATATACAGTCAAACCTGTAAACAACGAAAACAAAAATACTGCCATTATTTGGAGGTTATTTTGTATGCATTTTTGTTCGGTGCTTCCGCTGTTTGAGGTGGTCGTTATTACAGGTTCGACTGTTAATTAAAAATTTACTTAAAAAAACCAAATATTTATTTAAACAGTTCTGCATTTAATTCAAACACAGTAACTGTATTGACCTGTTTATATATATATTATTGTATTGATCAAAACAATACATCTACTTGTAGAGATAATAGAGTTGAGTGCTTCTAAAACGTTTTCTATCTCTCAATAAATTGTCAACAAAGATTCAGGCCGCCGAAGACTGCTTTTAAATAAATGAAAATAATGATCGAAGCAAGTAAATTTAGTATAACACCTACTTTCGACCACCAATAGTTCCGAGAAATAGCGGTCTTTATAAGAGATGGTGGCTTTGAAGGGATAGTTTTTTAGAGTAGTTACACTATATAGAAAAATGTTAATATAAAACTTTTTATTTTATTAATGTTTTTATTAATTTATTATTTACATGTAATCACTTAAATTGAATGAGAAATTGCTGAAAATCTGGCTGTTTCTATGGATCTGTAGCGTAACTAGGAGGAGCTCAGGAGTGCAGGCTATTTTTGTAAATAAATAAATTAAGAAAAATCAGGAATAGGTATTATATGTACGTGTGCCTATACATACAATATCTAACACTTTATTTACTTTTTATTCACAGTGCTAGAGGCTACATCCACAGCGTCACAGGGGTGAATGTATGTTTGCACTCGGCTCCTCTAATATCAGTTCTAGTTAAGCTATCGCTATGGATAGAAACATAAAAGAAAGTAATGCTCTATAGTCTAATAAATCAAGGAGTCTTCGGGATAATAATTAAATACAATAAAACCTCTACTTTGCGATCACCAATGGTTCTGATCAACATTGATCTTCATGAAGGGTGATCTTTTAGAGGGATTTCGCTGTATTTATAATCTCTCTCTTTTTTTTATTTATGTATGCAACTAGATTCATTTACTAACCACTAAACGAGAACCTCACTAGAAATATCTTTTAAACGTTTACCATTAGAATATTATCAAACAGAATGAGATGACTCACAGGATATCCCCTGCACACTCTCCCCTGCCTAAATTTCGATTATTTAGCCCCATAATTCGATCGACGAGGGAATGATAAGTACGTGGAAACTTTGAAAACATTAAAAAATATAGCTATTTTCTAAAATAACTTTATATTTGTTAACGCTTTAGCCTTATAGTTTTTAATGCTTTAAGATAGTTCTATATATATATATATATATACACCATATAACGTTAAATATATATATATATAACGTTATATGATTTATAGAAATAGCATCATTAAAGATTTCGATTGTATGTTTTCTAAACAAAATATCAGTTTTTTTTTTCTTTGTAAACGAGAAGCTACCAAATATATACAAAAAACTGTATAGAAAATTTAATGTTTTTTTAAAAATATCGAACCCGGACTCTTTTGATGTCGAGCGTAAAAATCATTCTACTATCTCCAGTCATTAAGGTCAAAAAAGATGGGAAAGTTCGTCGAACTTTTTCATTTTTTTCCTCTTCATTTTCTATTTAATTTTGTATGATAACTTTGAAAAATGTTAATAAACTCTAAAAGTTGATTAGAAAACGTTCCAAAAAAAGTTATAGAAATAATCTAGATGCTTTTCAGATATGAGAGAAAAAATTTAGAAATTAATAAAAATTCCACATAAAATTTAAAAAATTTAAATAAAGTTCTTAATAACTGCACCTCGTATATCTATTTAATTAAATAATTTTTAAAATTTGATGAGAATAAAAATCAATATATTATAAAAATAGCTTTTTTTTTTACCTAAGAAAGCTATTTTTATATCTACCAAACGTTTAGAACTATCTAAATAGACAAAATTCTATCAAATACAGTCGAACTCCCCAATAACGGACACCTCTAAACGGCGGCCATTTTTCAGGAACGTACAGTACTTCTTTTAAACCAAAACTGCATACAAAATACTATAAATTGCCAATATTTTTTACGTTCCCGTCAGTGGCCGTTGTTTACAGGTTTAATTGTGTATAATAATTACTCATTAAAATGTTCCTAGTTTGAAAACCGGATAAATCGGGCAGCGGCTAAATAATTTATGAAAAATAAAAGTTTATATGACAAAGAACTCATATTTTATGGGGATAATGACCTAACATCGTTGAAAAAAGAAAGAAAAAAACTCGTTGGAAACGGAATCGAGATTTTCTGAAAATATGAAGATAGCTTTATCGATAGGCTATTTTAAGAGATTGATTTAATTGGCTTTAAGTGCATCAACTTCTATGCTGCGGGGAGGGTCAGAATTCGATTCTTTGTATGTCGTGTCGT